GGGCAGAAGGTGAGGGTCCCCACAGCCTGCTTAGTGTGTGTGTGTGTCTGTGTGTGTGTGTGTGTGTGTGTGTGTGTCCGTCCGCCGGGGTCCTTGGGGCCTCACGGTGGACCGTATCGTCCTCTCTCGTCTGTCCTCGCCGCGGCACGAGTGTGTGTGTTCCCTCGCGTCCCTGCAAGGACAGCAGCAGAGGACTCTGGGTCCTCTGAGCCGCGGGCCAGACGTGCACACGTGTGAACCCGCTCTGCCCGGCGAACAACCGGCGGCGGCGTTGTGTGTGTGTGTGGTACCGCGTTGTAGCCGCCACATCAGACCAGGCAGAAGATGTCAGAAAGGTGTCGCTGTGTTGCCGTGTGACGGAGGACGAGTGAGCTTCTCCTCCTGTGTGCGGGATCGGTACCCGGGCCGTGGTCACCGTTATTGTTCTGGTTTCCCCGCCGCACACGTCGCGCCGGAGACGCCTTTTCAACACCTTCTCGGTTGTAGCTGCGCAAAGCGAAAAATAGCGAGCGCGCAATTCAACACCGACACGTTCCGCTCGAATCCAAAAGCGATGCGGCGGCTATTATTCCGACCTGCCGGATGTATGGAACGCCTCGTTTCCATCAAATTTAATTTGGTTTTGGCGAGTTATCCTCTTAATTGTGTTTATGTGTGAGAGATGGGGGGGAAAGAAAAAAAAATAAGAGCGAGAGTTTTTGCCTGGCTGCCCAGGGAGAGCCAAGGGTGGAAGTTGTTTTTCTCCCCCCTATGGTGAGTCTGGGGCTGTGTGTGTGTCTGTGTGTGTGCAGCAGCCTGGGGCCATCGGAGGGGGCCCGGGGAACCGTGGAAGGAGGGAGGAAGCGAGAGCAGGACGGAGGGAGAGGAGGTCAGAGAGGGTCCGGCTGTGAAAGGTGCAGGTTTGGGCCCATGGCCAAACAGAAAGGTGGAGAGGAGAGGGAGGGGCGGTGGGGGATGTTGGAGGTGTGGGGGGAGGACGGGGGGGAGGGGGGAGGATTCAAGTTTAAGCAAATGGGCCGTTGTAGCCGAGGTGAACTTGATGCTGTTACTTCGGCCCACTGTTGGTATTTGGCGCAACATCCCTGCCTGCATGTTGTTTGTGTGCCTCCCAATAAGAGCGTCTTTTATTTTGAATATTGAATTAGATAAAAGTAAGGATGAAAGGTATGAGAAAACCTTTGATAATTCCTTTGATACCAGAATATTTAAACATCCAATCTCCAATCCATTTTTTTTTTTCTAAAGGTATGTTTTACTTTATTTTGAAATTCAACTGATTTTTTTTTTCATTTTATTTTTTTTTTTGGTCTTATTTGTTCATTCTGAATTGTCTGCATGTGGAAGTAGGCAGCACTGGGAGCCGAAACCCCTTTTTTTTTTTTTTTCCACTATACCATCTGAGCTCCTCTTTGATTTGAACATGAAAGGCAGAGACGGGAGAACAACACAACATCCACGGAAGATACTTCACATTTCAAGCTTTCAGCAGCCGCTGTTATCCGGAGCGAACTAATTGAACTCATTTTCCCGAGTGCTGGTTCCATGTCAGCCCATCGAGTCGTTTACTCCATCAGTTTGCCATTTGTACGACCTCATACGCAATATGTATCTTATAGATATATATATACATTGTATATATAGAGATATCATTTTAAAAAAGGCCTGTGAACTTTGACTCCTCAGCTTTAGAATAGTTGGTCCAAACAACACAATAGTCTCCAAAGTTCTGCCTCTTTGATGCCATTTCTCTGTGTGTGTGTGTGTGTGTGTGTGTGTGTGTGTCATGGAGCCACTGGGTTTCGGTGGGCGGGGGGCAAGTAGACTGGTGTGGGGGGGGGCAGAAACATGAAGAGAGATTGATCAGCGTGTGTGTCTCTTCATTAGAGTGTTCCACCAAGGCTGCGTCCTCCACACGTTGCCACACTGTCTGGCCTATTAGAGAGGCATGCGGGCTGTGCGTGCGCGTGTGTGTGTGTGTGTGTGTGTGTGTGTGTGTGTGTGTGTGTGTGTGTGTGTGTGTGTGTGTGTGTGTGTGTGTGTGTGTGTGTGTGTGTGTGTCTGTGTGCGTCTGCCCGTTCAGGTGGACTCGGGTGGTCCGTTTAGTTCCTTTCTGGACTTTTTTTCTTTCTTCTTCTTCTTCTTCCATTTCTCATTACAGACCCCTGGTTTCTCCTTTTCTTCTCCTTCATTTTCTCCCCCTTTCATGTCGCCGTCTCCCCCCCCCCCCCCCCCCCCTCTCCTCTGGAGTTCAGAGTCCGTCCATCTGGAGCGTCCCCCTGTCCCCCTCCTCTCCCTCGGTCCCGTCCAGGCGCGAGAACACAGGGGTGAAGGCCAACACCGGTAGGGGAGGGACGGATGGAGAGATGTCAACGCTATAATGAGTAGCAACATGAAAGCTGACGGACGGACGGGACGGGAGGGAGGGAGGGAGGGAGGGAGGGAGGGAGGCAGTGGAAGAGAGATGAAGACCGACGAGGAGGGGGACTGCTGGGGACAGAGGGAGGGATGCCGGATAGAGGGAACGGACGGGGAAAGGAGAGAGAGGACTGCAGTGCGAGAGATAAAGCGGCGGCGGAGCAGTCGGGGGCCCCGCCGGTCCTCCTCCCTGCTCCTTCTCCTTGCCTTTCATTCGCCAGAGAAGAACAGAAGAGGAGGAGGAGGAGGAGGAGGAGACGGGGGTTTTGAACAGCGTGTGTCGGTGTCCGCCTGCTCCTGCCAGTTTCTTCCCCCCCCCCCCCCCCCCCCCCAGCTACTTTTCTTCTTCTTCCCTGTTTTTCTTCGCCCTCCCCGGCGTCTCTCGAGGATTCTTCTCTAATTTAACTTTTCATTGACGTCTTCCTCCCCCACCCCCCTCCCCCCCCCCCCCACCTCCCCCCCCCCGATCCTCGTCCTCCGGCTTCTCCCAGTCTGCGGCTCGGCCTTGTCTCGCCAGGTCCCCTCGCGGCCCGGCTGACAAAGGGCCCCGTTAAAAAGCCGTGTGATCCTCCATTTTAGCGCCGGCCACGCTAGTCAGAGGATTAGGGCTCTTTAATGACGCTAATCTCCCCCACCCCTCCCCTCCTTCTTTCTCAACACCCCCGTCTCCCCCGTCTCCCGCTCTACATGCCCCTCGAAAAAGCGTTTTCTCCCTCTCGTTCGATCTCTTCCTTTTCACCCTGTGTGTCTCCTCGTCAGCGCACACACTCTACCATGACTGACTCACACGTGTGTGTGTGTGTGTGTGTGTAATGTCACACGCGTGTCCCCGTGAAGAGACACTTTCCCCGTGTTTGTTTTTTCGAGGGGGCGACGCGCTTCATTCACAGGGATTGTTCGACGTTTAAAACTTCAATTCTAAAAACGTTCAGTCCCACAAATGGTCCCGTTAGCGATTTTTTTTAATTTTAGCGTCGTGTCACTTTTCCCAGCAGCCACCTTTCCTCCCAGTAGGAGGCGGCATCTTTACTGTCGCTGATCACCGCGCGGGTCATCCGACCTGACTTTAGGTTTGTAGGTCGAGGGCTACGTGAATAAAAGTGGAGGCCTGTGTTATTTTGATGAAACTCGATGACTTTCTGATTGGGGGAAAGTCTCATGTTCCCATAATCCATCTCCCTTTTATTCTCACCTTTTCTCTCTCCCTCCCTCTCGCCGTTCCTTTTTAGGCTTCACGCCAGTATCTCTATTTTCCGTATACCTACATCTTATTTTTTTACTAGCTTCTAGTCATATCTTTCTTTTTTTTACCCCCACCCGCCCTGCCGCTGCTTTTTTATTTGCTCATCGCAGTGCCTGCACTTTCTCTGCAATCGATTCATCACAAGGATCCGTTTTTCCACCCCCCCCCCTTCTCTGCGAGGCGTAATACACAGTGGGCCAGACACACACACACACACACACACACGCACACGCACGAGATTGTAGGTTGAAGTAAAACGATGCATCGGAGAGGTTTTTTAAATTACCAGCAGGAGCTTCTCCTCCGCACGTGTCTCATGTGCCGTGAGTGTTTGCATTTGCAGACGCGTCGGCCTCGTCCAAATACTCTGCTTTCTTTATTTTCTCTCTTTGATTTGCTGCCGGCCTAATTGATATAACTAGCAGATAAAAGCAAAGGAAACACTCCCCCCTTCGCTTGCGCTCTTCTTTACATTTTTCAGGCGAATGCTAAACAGCCTCACAGAGCGCACAAAGAACAATATCGAGCCTCATTCACTTCGCCCTTTTGTTGCATCAAATCCATTCTGAAGTGTCTATTAAAGGAGTCGTGGCCTTTTTGTCGCCAGCGAGCGCCAGACTGCACGGGAGGGGGGGGGGGAGAGAGGGAGAAGGGGGAAGAGCAATGCATAATCTCCTATGTATGACAGATAAAAGGAGTGAATATCGCCATCTTTCCGCTCCGCTCTCCACGTCTCCTAATCGCTTTTCCGACGTTTCAATCTGCCGAGGCCCTAATGAAAATATGATGAGGCGGATCTATGGTCCCCGGGGACGGACGGACGGAGGGACGGGAGGTGAAGGAGGGGAGGTGGGGGGGGGGGCTGCAGAGGGAGGATAAAGGGAGAGAAAATACACTCTGTCCTTATTCCCGGGCTCCGTTGGGGATACACAGTTCTTGGAGCTTTCTATTTAGATGTTGCTGCTGCCGGAGTCTCGCTCTTCCCTTTCGTTCTCTCTTTTTTTTATCTCTGCCATCTTCCTTTTCCTCCGCGAGTGTGTGTGTGTGTAACCAGGATAAATGTGTTTATTTTTTAGTTCATATTCTCTCATTTGAACTCCCGGAGGACGCACACCGCCTTCTGGCTTCCAAGGAAGACGCAACTTCTTCTTAATAATGCTTCCTGTTTTACCCCCACTTTTTTTTTCTTGTCTTTTACTGTTATTTATTCTTCTACAAATCCTGCAGCTGTGTACAAACTATGTCTGTGTGTGTTTTCTTGCCGCGGATGAATCCAAGGCCTCTTCGTTTTTTATTTTCTTCTTCTTCGTTCTCAAATCGTCTCGTTTCCCTTTGCCGTCAGATGGTGACGATGACCCAGCAGGCCTCTCCTGGGTGCCTTCCTCGCCCTCCAGCAAAGACGTGGCGTCGCCCTCGCAGATGCCCGACGGCTGCTGCGACCTCGGCATGGCCACCGGCGGCGAGGAGGAGGGAGGCGCCGGCCTGCCGTACCCCTGCCAGTTCTGCGACAAGTCCTTCAGGTAGAGCGCTCTCCCTCGCCCCGCCGGCTCCGCCTCGGTGCTCGAGGAGGCGGGGCGTCGTCGTTAAGGCGGTAGGCCGCACGCGCGTGCGCGGTTCGGATGCCTCCTCGCGCATGCCGGATGTCAATGTGCGCATCGTGACTGAAAGGTGTTTCCCGTTGGTTCCCCTCAGCCGCCTGAGCTACCTGAAGCGCCACGAGCAGATCCACAGCGACAAGCTGCCCTTCAAGTGCACCTTCTGCAGCCGCCTGTTCAAGCACAAGAGGAGCCGAGACCGCCACGTCAAGCTCCACACAGGTAGATGCCGAGGAGGCGCGTCGGCATGGAAACGACCAGTGGGTCGGTTTGGGGGAGCGTCGATCGTGGAAAGGACACCTTCTCGTTTGTTCTGCGGTGTGTATTTGTATGTATATGTTTAATCAAATCACCTCTCGTTATTGTGCTTATTGGCACAGGAGACAAGAAGTATAGTTGCCAGGAGTGCGAAGCCGCGTTCTCCCGCTCTGATCACCTGAAGATCCACCTGAAGACTCACAGGTAACTTCACCGCTCCCGAACCGCTTGATTACAAACTCTCTGGAGATCATTTCTCCTTCTTTCCACTGTTGATTCTAGTGTTTTATTTGACTGATTTCTGATTCCTGTTTCCTTTTTTTTTTTTTTTGTGAGGAATTCTTCACACCTCCAGCTCCAGCAAACCCTTTAAGTGTAGTGTGTGCAAGCGTGGCTTCTCCTCCACCTCGTCACTGCAGAGCCACATGCAGGTAAACAACTGTTGCATGTTTTATCTAATATAACTGTTAAAATGGCTTGTCGCTGCTGCCATATTCTCTTAGATATGGCCTTAATATCATTATTGTATATTTGTATGGCCGCTGATTATTGTGTAGTTCAAAATCTGATATCAGGACCGCCACGTAGTTGCATTGTTGCCGGTACAATTTTCAAAATAAGCTACAGTTGCATTGACGTGTCCGTTTAACCTGCACACGAGGTTTTTCTCATCACGCAAAACCTTTCAGACAGAATGTTTTTCAACACGTGCTTCTTACAAATTTTTTTTTTTGCCTTTTCGTCTGACTGCGGCAGGCTCACCGCAAGAACCGAGAGCACCTGGCCCTGAGGAGCGAGCGGGACGGAGGGAAGAAGGGAGCGGGAGGAGACGTCGACCTGGAGCAGGACCTGTACATGTGCGATTACTGCGAGGAGACGTTCGGCCTGACGGACGAGCTGGAGAAGCACGTGCTGACCAGACACCCCCAGCTGTCGGACCGGGCCGACCTGCAGTGCATCCACTGCCCGGAGATCTTCCTCGACGAGGCTTCCCTCCTCACGCACATCGAGACGCAGCACGCCAACCGCAAACACAAGTACGGCGGCGTTGCCTTTTCAAGCGGGCGTAACCGTTACGCCCGCTGTTCATCATGCAAGTGCAATGGTGGTGTGTGACTTTGCGTTGAACTCTAATCCCTCCCACGCCTCAGATGTCCTGTCTGTTTGGAGCAATTCCCGTCCGTGGAGGACGTCTACTGCCACCTGGACAGCCACCGCCAGCCGGACTCCTCCAATCACAGCGCTGCCAGTCCCGACCCGGCGCTGGGCAGCGTGGCCTCAATGAGCTCGGCCACTCCGGACTCCAGCGCCAGCCTGGAGAGGGGCTCCACGCCGGACTCCACCCTCAAGCCCAGCCAGGGCATCGAGCGGCTGCGCAGGAGAGGCATGGAGTCCGTGGACGACATCGGGATGACCCTCAGTCACAAAGGTGGAGGTGCGGCGCCGTGTGCGGTCGGTTCAAACCTTCGGGTCATCCCCGCGCATTTCTAATCCGGCGGGTTTGTCTGCCCATGTCCACAGGGGGAGGAGCCAACTGGGGTAAAGTGACGTACTCTTGCCCGTACTGCTCAAAGAGAGACTTCCACAGCCTGGCGGTGTTGGAGATCCATTTGAAGACCATCCACGCAGACAAGCCGCAGCAGAGCCACACGTGCCACCTCTGCCTGGACACGCTGCCCACGCTCTACAACCTCAACGAACACGTGCGCAAAGCTCACCGTGCCGGCGGAGGGGCCGTGGGCGCGGTGGCGGTGGCGGCGGCGGCGGCGGCTTTCCCCCTGCTGCAGTTTGCCAACGTCACGGCGTTCCACTGTAACTACTGCCCGGACATGTTTGGAGACATCAACTCTCTGCAGGAGCACATCAGGGGGTCGCACTGCCTGCCTGGTGGGATGGTGGCAGGGTCCACCACATTAGGTGTGTAGTCAGCAAACGCTAAACAATGGAAAGTGACTTACGTGCATTGTTTGCTAAAAGGGGTTGGTATCGTAGTAAACAATGCAACTTAATCCCTCCTTTTCTAGAAGGGAACCATGCCTTCTTCTGCAACCAGTGCTCCATGGGATTCTTGACGGAGTCGTCGCTGACGGAACACATCCAGCAGACACACTGCGCCTCCGTCGCGGGGGGCGGCGGCGGCGGCGCTTCATCCGGGGGGGCGGCGGCCAAACTGGAGTCTCCCGTACTGCAGACGTCGTCGCAGTCCTTCATGGAGGTGAGATTTTCAGAGTTGCCTGAAATGCCTGACTGACGTCATTACCAAGCTGTGTGTGAGCTAATAAACAATAAGCCGTTTCCTTTTTTTAATTACGCTGTTTTCTTTGCTGCGTCACGAGTCCAATTAAGTTGTTAAAGTTGTATTATGTTGTTAAATGATGCACGCTGCTCATAAAATTGATCATTTTACGACATGAATTATTTTTCCAAGTCAGCCGTTACGACGACTAATTGCTGGACTAGTCTGGAAACCTCATCATATTTTATTTAACTACATTAAATGAATTACTCCTCTGCTTTATTCATGATGACTTACAGTCCCTCTGTTTTTCTCTTCTTCCTGTCATTCAATACGGCCTTTTTCTCCAAAAAGAGAGACAGACTAAACGAGTATTTTGTCACTGTGTAATAATCTCAGAGTCATTGTCCATGCACAGGTTTACTCCTGCCCTTACTGCACCAACTCGCCCATCTTCGGCTCGCTCCTCAAGCTCACCAAGCACATCAAGGAGAACCACAAGAACATCCCGCTGGCCAACAACAAGCGGCAGGCAAAGGTAGCCGACCTGAGCCCCGCCTCCTCCGACATAGAGGTCTCCTCCCCGAAACGCCACCGGCTGGGCGGGGACCTCACCCCCTCGGCGGGGAGCAACGGCGACTACCCGTGCAACCAGTGCGACCTGCGCTTCTCCAGCTTTGAGGGTTTCCAGGCCCACCTGAAGTCCCACCTGGAGATGCTGCTGAGGCGCCAGTCCTGTCCGCAGTGCAACAAGGAGGACTTCGAATCCCAGGAGGCGTTGCTCCAGCACCTGACGGTGCACTACACCACCACGTCGACGCAGTATGTGTGCGAGAGCTGCGATAAGCAGTTCTCCTCGGTAGACGACCTGCAGAAACACCTGCTGGACATGCACACGTTTGTCCTGTACCACTGCACGCTCTGCCAGGAGGTCTTTGACTCCAAGGTCTCCATACAGGTGAATTAAACGTATCCCGTACCTTGGGCGTGACCTAATTTCTTCATTTTGGGGAACTGAATACATTAATGCAACGACCATTGAAATTCCACCGACTTCAATTGCCCCCCCCTGCACTCTACTTTCTGCCATTTAGGTGCATTTAGCAGTGAAGCATAGCAATGAGAAGAAGCTGTTCCGCTGCACGGCCTGTGCCTGGGACTTCAGGAAGGAGTCTGATCTTCAGATCCACGTCAAGCACAACCACCTGGGCCAAAGGTCGGGCCTCCCAGGGGGGCTGGGAGCAGGTACTGTAAATCTTTTCCTGGGGTGACGCGCTTATTTTCAGTGGAAATGCTGGGTAGCGATAGTAAAACGGAAAGAAAATGTAGTAATGAAGTAAAACAAAAGTCGACCGTCACATTGGGTCGATTGGGCTCGAATCTGCACATGTTCATCCAACCTCTGCCTCACAGGACTCAAGCCCCGGAAGTGCATCTTCTGCGGCGACACATTCGCGACCGAGGTGGAGCTCCAATGCCACATCACCACACACAGCAAGAAGTTCACGTGTCGCTTCTGCGGCAAAGCTTTCCAAGCCATGCCGCTGCTGGAGAGACACCTGAGGGAGAAGCACTGCATCTTCGACGGCGGCAGCGTCACCGGCAACGGCGGCGGCGCCGGCGCCGGGAGCGGCGGGAGTCACAACGGGACACCCAACGGGCTGGCTCAGACCTCCAAGCGAGGAGGAGGAGGAGGAGGAGGAGGAGGAAGTGGCGGCGGCGGCGGCGCAGGAGGCGCCGAAAGAGCGACGGTAGCGGCGGCCGAACAGGCCGACCTGCAGAACATGCTGCTGAAGAACGCCGTGGCGGGGGGAGGAGGAGCTGGCCAGGGGGGAGACGCGGCCAACAGCCACGAGGCGAGCGGGGGGGAGGAGGAGCTGGACAACTCGGAGCCCATGTACGCCTGCGATATCTGCGGTGCCGCCTACACCATGGAGTCGCTGCTGCAGAACCACCGACTGCGCGACCACAACATCCGACCGGGAGATGATGACGCTTGTAAGACTTTTTTTATACCTTAGGGGGAAAACACAAAAAATGATCCTCTGTATGTGTTCTATGATGATGATGATGATAAAAGCGATTTCACACACACCAGGTTCTCGAAAGAAGAAGGCCGACTTCATCAAGGGGAACCACAAGTGCAACGTGTGCTCCAGGACGTTCTTCTCTGAGAACGGGCTCCGCGAGCACGCTCAGACGCACCGCGGGCCCGCCAAGCACTACATGTGTCCCATATGCGGCGAGCGCTTCCCCTCTCTGCTCACCCTCACTGAACACAAGGTGCTGCTCTCAGGCCGGTGCATGTGCATGTGTTTGGGGGTTGTCCAGGCTTCGGCATCGTCGTCGTCGGCAGGTTTTTACGCGCAGGGAGGTGCAGTCAGTGGGTTTCCTCGTCGGTATAAAAAAAAAAAAAAACGCTGCTCGTCTTCTTTTGTTTTTCTCTTGCCATTACTTCCGTGTTGCTTTGTGTCCTCCTTTTGATGCAGAGGCGTCTGTGGCTGCTTTTGAATTTAGAGCGTTAAACTGTCCTAAGAGAGGCAATTTGTGCTGCACCGCACTACAGGAAAAACACAAGTATTCAAAAATGGTAGCGTGTGATGCCGCCACAGTCAGTCCGCGTGCTTCTATGCTTTGATGAAAGATCCTCCAAAAGAAAAAACTAAAAACGCTTTTTTTTTTGCATCATTATGTTTATGTTCTGTTCATATTCCCTCTCTGCAGGTGACCCACAGTAAGAGCCTGGACACGGGTACCTGCCGAATCTGTAAGATGCCCCTGCAGAGCGAGGAGGAGTTTATAGAGCACTGCCAGATGCACCCTGACCTCCGCAACTCCCTCACCGGCTTCCGCTGCGTCGTCTGCATGCAGACCGTCACCTCCACCCTGGAGCTGAAGATCCACGGCACCTTCCACATGCAGAAGCTCTCCGCCGGCTCTTCGCTGGGAGGAGCCGCGGGAGGAGGAGGAGGAGGAGGCGGGAACGGTGGAGGAGGAGGAGGAGGAGGAGGGAACGGGTCGGCGTCCTCGTCCCCCAATGGGCAGCTGCACAAGCTCTACAAATGCGCCTTCTGCCTGAAGGACTTCAAGAACAAAGGGGAGCTGGTGAAGCTGGACGTCAACGGCCTGCCGTATGGGCTGTGTGCTGGCTGCATGAGCAGGTGGGTGGGCAGCCGTCGACGCCCGAGGATAATGGCGTGTGTTTGTACAGACAACACATTTATCACGCGCTCTTACCAGGTTTGATGTTAGATTTGGCCCTTTTACCTGCAGGGAAGCCTCGGAGGAGAGGATGTTTGGGTTGAGCGTAGCTCGGCAAATGAATTATCGTCAATATCACTGCTCAAACTCGTCCTATGTTCAACCAAATCAGGGGCACGAACGGCCAGAGCCCCAGCCTGGGGGGACCCGCCACGCCGGGGGACGCGCAGGGAGAGAAGGCCGCGGCCGGGCTGAGGTGTCCGGAGTGCGGCGTAAAGTTCGAGAGCGCGGAGGACTTGGAGGGCCACGTCCAGGCCGACCACCCGGAGATCAGCCCCGAAACCAGCGCGGCAGGAAAGAAGGCCGAGGCTTCGCCTGCACCGAAGGTGAGACGAGGGATCTTATTGAAGCGCCTCTTCGCCGTTGACTTTCTGCCAAGATGTGGAGGAAGTTCGGCTGTGTGAATAAATAAGAAACACCTCCGCTAGCATCAGATTTGCGTCTTAAATTGTCAATATCTCTGCTGAGCTGAGATCCCGGTCAGGTAGGAGAAACTCGCCGTTAATAAGAAAGACAACATTTGGGAGAGAGTCTGCTGAACTGTGGGACTGTTGAACAAGGTGTGTGCGTATGCATGTATGTATGTGTGCACCTGTGTGTGTGGCTCCTTTTCGTATCTGTAACTCTCATACGTGTGCTTGGCGGGTGTGTGTGTGTGTGTGTGTCCGCCGAGCCCCACTGGGTCCTGCGGTAGGGCCGTGCTGAGGCTTTGTGGGAGCTGTTCCTTCTACTTGGTATTGACAGTCAGGCTCCCCGGGCCTCCCCACGTGTTTGTGTGAGTGAGTGTGTCTGTGTGTGTACTTGCGTGTGTGTGTCAGAAGCAGTTCCCCTAAGGCCCCTCTGCCTTACCTGCACCTTTGTTTCTGCTTAGTCTAACAGCACAAAGCAACATTTCTGTGTGTGTGTGTGTGTGTGTGAGTGACATGTAACGCTCAGGCTGAAGCTGCAGAGAGATGGTGGAAGTGGGGCCTTTGTGTGTTTTGCATATGTGTGCGTGCATGAGTGATCACTATGTGCTATGAATGGATAAGCAGAGCCTCTGCTACTCTCTGTGTCTCTTTCGTCCTCCCCTGTCCTCTTCTTTTTTTTTTTTTTCTTCCACGCTGTTTCTATTTCATTGCGTCCTCCCCCGGTCGCTCCCTCCCATGTCAGTTTTGCTGTCTCTCCTGTGTACGGTTGTGTTTTTCTTCCTTTTTGTCAAATCCCAAACTTTTTGGGCGCTCGGCATCGCTTAATTCATGCGAGACCTGATCTGCATGTCTTGCAAATAAAAAATTCTCACTCTTATTACGTTGTTCCTGTGTACTTGTCTTTCAGAAAAAGACCTACCAGTGTATTAAATGCCAAATGACGTTTGAGACGGAACGGGAGATCCAGATCCATGTCGCTAATCACATGATCGGTGAGTGAGGCGCAGCTCTTCCACTCAGTTTGTGTGTGTTTGTGTGTGAGTGTGTGTGTGTGTGTGAGTTTTTTTCCTCCCTTGCTTTGACACCACTACTGTTGAAATTGTGTTTCTTCCCGCACAAAGGTGATATAAATAATAAAGAGCTCCTTTTGACTTGTGGGCTTGTTGGTAGATGAAACAAATGTGGATATAAAACACAACCACCCCTGATCAAACTGCACTGTTGGAGCAATAAGAACACTTGTGCATTATATAATCTGGGTAAACTTAATCCCTGAGAAGCCATTATTGCCTGTTGAGGGCTGAGAAAAGACTGCGCCAATTATAAAACCCGCCTCTGTAGTTTGGAGTCCTGGTTCTCTTTATGAGGTTCCCCTCTCACAGCTTTTTCGGCTCGTACTAATTTGCTGCCGTAGCATCTCTGTCGTCATGGAGATTAACGAGGTGGACCTGCAAGGCCTTCTGGGGAGCAGACGCTCTGCACCCCTACAATCACACCTGACAGGCCCGTGTACTCTGAGGTTGTGTGTGTGTGAAGCCGAGGTAGAGCCTCGTGTGTGTGTGTGTGTGTGTTTGTGTGCTGACGTTGCTCTGAGTTGTCTAGTAATGTCTGGAGACATAAGAGAAGAGAGTTTAAGCCGAAGTACAGCTGGAGTAACTTTTACATCCTTCCCCCTGTGAAGCGCGCACACACACACACACACACACACAAACACGGGGAAAAACTCTCTGAAATAAAAGAACACAAGTATGGTAAATGTTTTACTCGCACGCACGCACATCCCCACTCACATTGGTGACATGTTTTTGGATAATCAACACCGTAACTGTGTGACAACGTGGAAGAGATTCATTAAAAAAATTGTGTTATTTTTTTATTTATTTTTTTCTTAATTATTTTTAAGACATTGCTCACCTTTTCTATTATTGCATTTTTAAACATCTCCCCTCCCCGAGGGAACAAATAACTAAAAGAAACATCTTATTTGGAATAATTGCAGTTGAGACGTTCAACAGATCAAGAAGAAAGGTTTTCAGGGGTCAACGATTCGATTCTAAACCGATAAAACGATTATCGATGCATCTCGATTTTCTAAATTTTCTCAAATCTGAGTTTGCTACTCAGAGGTTGCTGATCACTTCCTACTTTATTTGATAATTAAAGAAAATCAACAGATGAATTACCTTCTCTAATTCTTTATAAGAGAAAAAAAATCTTTGTCACAAATAGGATTTTCTATCAACGATGCAAGAACCAACGCAGCTTGCATTTCAACACAATATGGAAGTAGCCGATATAAAAAATATATTTAAACAGATTCATTTTTCTTTTAAAGGAAGAAAAAGCTGCTCTTAGTCTCAGACCGGTCCGTATTTGTAAAATAAAAAAAAAAGTCTATATCTGTGAATATCTTGCCAACTTTCAATACTGATCGACTTTTTGGAAAATGTAAATAATGAGGTAAGATGTGCGCAGGCTCCTCCATAGTTCAGTAAAGTTATTAGATACTCAGATTCAGACTGACGGACCGGTCTGCGAGCTGGACGCGTTGCTCTTAATGTGCCGGTAATGATGGTAAATGATGGTTGTAGCTGGTTGTCATCTACGCTCCACTACGGTTACCGAAGGGGCGCGTTTGTTTTTTTACGTTTTATCTCATAATTTCGACTTCCTATCCCTTTTCTTTAGTGCGTAAATGGGCTTCTATAGTTGTGTGGCTGCATCACTCCAGCCAATCCAAAGACTGGGGTTTGTAACCAATCAGGTGTAGTGACCATGGTGACTGGCTCCGCCCCCTTACTGTCAGAAAGAAAACCAGCGAGCGCGTAGAAAACACCTTGGAGCGCCAGCAGAGACTAACCTCGCCAGCGAGCAAATATCTCACGCGAGACAGACTTTTTTTTTAAATTTCCGATTATTAACTTTTCTGAATTGAGACCGAATCGTTCTAGAGAGAATCGAGAGAAATCGAAGAATCGTTTTTTTTCCCTCACCCATATATATATATATATATATATGTGTGTGTATTGTATGTATCGGCCCGATACATGACAGCGTGCCACCTCTCCTGTGTCGTCCTTCCTTCGGTTCCCTTCTTCTCTTCCTCCCGGCGTTGCCTCAGTGAAGGGGGGCGCTGGGGGGGCCCGTCTCACCGCCCTCGTTCACATTCACTCACATTCGACGACTCCATCGCCGGCCGGTGTGCTCGTGTCACTTCTGATCTGCTCGGACGCCTCAGCGGAAACCAGCCGAGGGCGCCGCGCCTCGATCCCGTCTTGAGTGTCGCCGGGAAATCGTGAAACGGCGGCCGACGCCTCCCAATCCGGTCTTTGACGATGACGTGCTTTGACTGGCCGAGGGAGGGGAGGGAGGGGAGGGGGGGTCTGCCGCTGGCTCGCTGAGTCCAGGGCGCGAGATCAGAAGGCGCAGTGTGACCCCGGGGGGGGCGGGGGGGGGGGGGATTCTGTGTGATACAGGTTAGTTATTGTGTGATGTCCAACACGGCTACAGTGTAAATACAGTTGTTCCTAAAAGACAAAGAACAGCCTTTGTATTGTTTGGGGGGGTGTGTGTGTGTGCGTCTGGGTTGGGGGGCATATCCCACCTGTGTGTATGTGTGTGTAATCACAGAGCCGTGTGCGTTCATTTTTCCAGGATGGGCAGGAGGGGGGGGGGGGAGGGGGGCGTCATGTAGGGGGCAGATGCGAAGGGGTGTAAAACAAACCAGGAAGATAAGCAAATAGCTTTAAAATACTCCTGCAAGAAGACGAAAACATCCTGTGTGCACAACGAGCGATGAGAAGGTTGAAAAAATTCAAAATGGAGTCGTTGTGAGGACCACGCACGCGCACGCGCACACATCCCTAAATAAGGTCCTTGACAGCATGTTCTGAGTGTTGCACGCAGCCACTAATGCTTTACTAATCACCTCAGTCTAGATTTCACAGCATGACACCTCGCCTCTCAAGAACATGTCTGCACACACACACACACACACACACACACACACACACACACACACACAGTACATACGTGTGTCCGCAGCAAACATGTGCAATTAGCATAGAGAATGCAACCCTTACTTTGACACACACGGTCCCCCCCCCCCCCCACTCACCCACTACTCTCCCTCCATTTCCTGTTGTTCACCTCCGCTTCCTGTCCATCGCAGTCGGCTTCCAACACCAACGGCGTATCCGTGCCAACGCGGCACAGCCGTGGTTGCGCCGCGGCGGCCCAGAGCGCCTTGCTGGTCGGCTTTTACGTTCCCGTACTGTCCCCCGGGGGGGGGAGGGGACCGGGGACAATGTCAAGCCGGTGCAGCTGTTTTGTTGGGCCAGCTTTCGCGGAGCTGTCATGTTGTGTTCACCAATCAGGCTACGAGTCGGCCTCTATGCCCGCCTCCCCGCCCCCCCCCCTCCTCCACCCCGCTCCTCACAGACACATTCACACTGCGTATTACTAATCCTGCCCATTCTCTCCTCCGCTCTCCCCCCCCTCCTCCCCCACCTGCCTATTGGATGGCCCGTAGAAGAGCCCACCTGTCGGCCAGGTTTGTCCCACTTCTGTCTCCTTAGCTCGCACTATGAGCAAGGCAGCGTTGTGCTGCCGCCACTGCCTGCCCATCAGCATTTCATCCTCCTGCGGCGTGCGGCGGCCACACCGCATGATGTGGAGGGACGGGGGGGCGCACTAATTTCTGAATAATTCGCCTTTCGACTGAATCCCGTGGGGGGGGGGGGGGGGGGAAGCTTTCTGAACTGGACACTTTGTAGCCAAGTCTTTGTACAATTACCCCTCACTTCACCTCAACCCCCCCCCTCATTCACTCCAATCCCTGCTGCTAGTTGCATGCTTCACTGTCCCCCCCCTCCCCCCTCATACACGCCACAAAAACACACACACGCACAAACCCACACGGATGCCTTGGAGCTATCGAGTGGCCACTCACCTGGATCTAAGTGCTCCCCGTGGAGCGCGGCGGCTAATGATGTGTCCTCAGCATGAGCTTTACTTACCTATTTACATCAGTGCGCTCTAATGGTGTCGCCGCGCCTTCTGCACAGTCGCCGTCTTCACAGACGTGACGGTCAGTAGCTGGCGCGGGCGGGTCGCGCTATTTACGCCCAAGTCTGCGTCGCTGTTGCCCTTTTTGGTTCGTTTTTTTCAACTTTGCAGACGGGCGAGCCGGTCTGGAGCGAATCCATCGGGACGCACTCCGCCCCCTTTAGCGCGTCGCCTCCTCGAGGTTGCGCTTATCTGCCCGTCTGCTGCCCGCAGTCAAATTCCGTGATGCGCTTGACTGGTAACGGCGGGTCTGCTGTCTAAGCAGCCGCCCCGAGGGCCTCTGTGTGTGTCTGTGCACACACAGATAGAAGTGTGCACCCCCCCCCCCCCCCTCTGCCTGCCCCTCTCTTTTTGCTTTTACACGTTCACACACACACACACACACACACACACACACCTGTCTGTATTTATGTGTGTGTGGTAGTGAGCAGGGTCCGGTGTGGTTGCTTTGTGTCACTGAAGACTTAATGAGGCGCATAAGATGCTTTTAGAGTCAATGGAGGTGGATAATGTGGTTGAAGGTTCACTCGTGTGTGTGTGTGTGTGTGTGTGTGTGTGAGAGACTCCTTGCCACCGGCTCGCTGCGTTGTTGTTCTCTTCTGCCCTGCTGCACTTGAATTAAAAAGCTTCAGGAGCCTCTGTGTGTGTGTGTGCGTGTGATGTCACTACTGCTGGTAGTGGTGCTGATTTATTTGTCAATTCTTATTTTAATTAAGATTCATCGGCATGTTGCGTTAGTAGTGCGCAAAGGTGAAAAAAAGCTGGATGGTAATTTTAGCAAAGTGGTGCTTTAAAGAGGAATATTGTCAGCTTTATTTCATGTTGTTTTTATTTTAGAAGGAACGGTCTTGTTGAAGCCCATTTGCACGTCACTCATTTTTGTTTTTAACAAAATACAGTTATTTTAATGGCAGTTCGCGTTGCAACGTTTGGTCCATATTCTCGGTTGAATGCGATCATGAAAATGAGGGGAAAAATGGTGCATTTGCCCGTGCAGAGGGCCGAGCGGGACCCTGTGAGGGTATGAGCCCCGGCCCAGATGAAAGCCCCCCCCCCCCCCCTCCTCCCCTCCCCCCACCGTCTCCCATCCGTCCCTCCCTACTCCCGTCCTCTCCATCCCTCCCTCGCCACCTGGAGCCGGCGAGCCGTGACACCAGAGGGAGGGAGGGAGGGAGGGAGGGACGATGAGGAAGGGACAGGGGAAGAGAGAGAGAAGAACACGCAGGAATCTGTGCCGTGATCATTTTTCAAAAAGGTGACTTGCATTCAAAAATAAATAAGTAAACAAATAAACAACAACAATAAACAAATATTTAATTTTTTTTTTTTTTCTTCAGCCCCGTATTTACAATCTCTACTGGCGCCTCCCCAGTACGACCTCAGTCATGTCCCCCCTTTTTCACAAAATTCAAATCCCGCTTTTAAATCAATGCTAAAAAGACAAATTGCACCTCTGACCACCGCAGCGAGGACGACGGAACGCCTGCACGCACACGACGCCGCCCGTTGCCGCCCTGACGCCGCCACCGTTACACGCTCCGCTGCACAAAACGTTACCAGCATCCTTCACTCGTCCCCTACCCTCCTTCACTCGTCCCCTACCCTCCTTCACTCGTCCCCTACCCTCCTCTGACACTGTGGAGAGACGGCGCTCGCCGTCTGTTCGTCTCCTCGACCACCCATTGTCTGCTGTGTGCACGCCGAATCGTTGGTGTACAGCGTGTGTGTTTTTGAAGGCTGGGAGCACGCCGCCGCCCCCCCACCCTCCCCCTTCCCCCTTCCCCCCCGGAGAGCTCATTTTGTCATCTCCTCGCTTGATTTACCTTCCTCTTCCTCCGCTGTTTATTACCAGTCATTACAAGCTGCTTTGGAAACCTAATAGGACACACTGACAAATGGACTGGGAGAGACCCAACTAGGGTACCAGGCATCGCGACGCAGCGACTGTGCGTGCGCGTGCGTGTGTGTGTGTGTGTGTGTGTCAGTCAGAGAGTGAGAGGGTGTGCGTTTGCCTGAGAGAATTTCCCTACATGCAACATCAGCCTTGTTAACTATCTATCTTGTCTGCTTTGTGTGAGTGATGTCTTTATCAGCCCTGTGTGTGTGTGTGTGTGTGTGTGTGTGTGTGTGTGTGTGTCTGAGAGTGCGGTCAAAGACGGATGGCTGTGTACTACCTGAAAACCCTCCTTGGCAATCCCCTCCCCTCTCTCTCTCTCCCCCCTCTCTCTCCCCCTCTCCTCTTCGGGCTCAACCCGTCCAGGTGTGGCCGCACCAGCTGCTGAAGAGAACAGGACAATTACACACACACACACACACACACACACACACATGGACATACAAGCTTCCTCTCCATCTCTGCTGGCTAATTGTCACAAGACAAACAAGGCGCTTTGCCTTTTTATGCGCCTCATAAACGGGGGGCCGGGGCAACAATTAGCTCCCTCCTTAATTCACTAACTGTTCTGAATTCATTTTCTCCCGTGACAGGCACATCTGTCACAGCTGCCAGAAGCGAGTGTCTGCGTTTGTTTGTTGTGTGTGTGTGTGTGTGTGTGTGTGCGCGGGACGGAGCTCGGGCCCGAGCAGTAGTGTAGTCGGGGCTGTGCGTTTAAAGCGGGATACCTTTTGCTACCGAATGTGACCCAGGTACCTCGTGGCATAGTTGTATACGTGCGTACGCATTTAAAAGAGATCGTTGTGTGTGTGTGTGTGTGTGTTGAACTTTAATGAGTGTATTTATTTATTTAATGGTAGAAGGGACAGACACGAGTCGAGAGAGGGAGGGCGATGTGGCGTATTTTGGCTGGCGCTCCACTCCGCTCGCCGAGCAGCTGGACTTCATTAGTGGCTGGTGTTAATTACTGGGACTGCACGCGCACACACACACACACACACACACACGCACACAGCCTGTGATTCAGGGTCACCTTGCTCGCCTTGTTTTGAACCAGCAGACCGAGGTGGTGCCAGACAGACGGGAAAAACGGATCAAATGGAGAGCGCCCCGAGCGGCGGTCCGCCTGCGGGGGGGGGGGGGGGGGGGCGTCCACGCCCGCGCCGATGGCGGTTTCGGGCCACGCGGCGGGGCGGCTTCGAGCGAGCGGTAGATATTGAATGTTCCGAAAGCGAGAGGCGGCGATGACAAAGTTCACGTGCGCGGGAACGCGATCTGGCGTTGGCGCCTGTTGTCAGCGGCGGTTCACTGCTAGCTGTGTCTTTCTGTCAGTCAAGGTGTCACAAGCGGCCTGGGGGTTGGGGGGGGAGCGAGCGGGAGAAAGCAAGACTTGAGGATGTCAAATATCGGCCCGATAGCCTTGGCGAAACCAAAACCCCGACAGATCGCGCGGAGAAGCCGCCAACCGATTTGGGGGGTGGAGGGGGGGGGGGGGGGGGGCTTCAGACGGAAGCCGAGGTTCGCTTAGCAGAGAGACGAGCGACCGACGGCGTGCGGGGGCGGAGGTTGAGTTTTTTTTTTTTTTATCTCTCTCTGGCTTAATTACACGGCGGGAGGACGGGAGGAGGCGGCGGCGGCAGCGAGCCGGAGAGAGGTACACGCTGCCGCTCTTATCTCGCGTCGCCGAGCAGATGTCGACCGGGCTGTTCTCTTTATTGCAGCACAAAGGCCTTCTGACAAAACGCACACGCGTGCGTGTGTGCGTGCACCTCACCCTGGACAAATCAGTGTATTCTGGTTTCAGTAATTTCCCAAGGTGCTTTGCTGCGTAGCCCCCTTTGGGTGAGCGAGGTGACAAAGCCAGCGAGGGAGGAGAGAACCTCTCACTTTCGGCCCCGTTTCTAATCTATTTTCCCTTGTTTGCCTCCTTCCTTTCTTCCACCCCTTTTTCGTTTCTTTCACCTTGCCGTGTGTTTTTTCTTACCGATCCAAACATTGACCCGGTATGCAGCTGTTTACCATGCAGATCGACTAACACATCTGCTGTACGAGTGGTTCCATCTCCAGCGGAACCGAATAATCAAGCTGAGTTCAACTTTACAACTCGTCCAAATCAGTCGGGTAGAATTCACGGCAGGCGCGCAGTCCCAACTTTCACTATTGCACGGCGACGACGTCCGGTCTGTTCGTTCCGCCCACCCACGCGGGGAGGGGGGGGGGGTCTCGGTGGGAACCCTTGAAATGTGGGGCAGGAACAGGCTCCGCCCTCTACAGCATCGGGGGGGTACTTCCGGGGGCCTCTGAGGCCTCGCAGCAGCCGGTTCGCCCCCCCCCTCCCCACCTCCCTCCCTCCTCTACCCTTCTCCCTCTCTGCCTGAAGGCGATCAATATCATTTTTGCTCCGGCTCAATGAATGTGGGCGGCCCTCGTGTCCAAATCCTCTAAATATTTAGCCATGACTTTGAAAAAGGTTTAGCTAACGCGGCGCGCTGCGCTTCTCCAACCCGGGCCGGGGCCCGACGCACTCGCGAGATTTCCGACCTAGTTTCCTCTACGAGCAAGACTTTAAAACGGTTATTTTTGTAAACCAC